TTGTTGTTGTTGTTGTTGTTGTTGTTGTTGTTGTTGTTGTTGTTGTTGTTGTTGTTGTTGTTGTTGTTGTTGTTGTTGTTGTTGTTGTGTTGGTTGGTGTTGTTTGTTGTTGTTGTTGTTGTTGTTGTTGTTGTTGTTGTTGTTGTTGTTGTTGTTGTTGTTGTTGTTGTTGTTGTTGTTGTTGTTGTTGTTGTTGTTGTGTTGGTGTTGGTGTTGGTGTTGGTGTTGCTGTTGCTGTTGCTGTTGCCGTTGTTGTTGTGTTGTTGTTGTTGTTGTTGTTGTTGTTGTTGTTGTTGTTGTTGTTGTTGTTGTTGTTGTTGGTGTTGTTGGTGTTGGTGTTGGTGTTGGTGTTGGTGTTGGTGCTGTTGCTGTTGCTGTTGCTGTTGTGTTGCTGTTGTTGTTGTTGTTGGTGTTGTTGTTGTTGTTGTTGTGGTTGTTGGTTGTTGGTTGTTGGTTGTTGGTTGTTGATTGTTTGTTGTTTGTTGTTTGTTGTTTGTTGTTTGTTATTTGTTGTTTGTTGTTTGTTGTTTGTTGTTTGTTGTTGTTTTTTTGTTGTTGTTGTTCTTGTTCTTGTTGTTGTTGTTGTTGGTGGTGGTGGTAGTGGTGGTGGTGTTGGTGTTGGTGTTGGTGTTGGTGTTGGTGTTGGTGTTGTTGGTGTTGGTGTTGGTGTTGGTGTTGTTGGTGTTGGTGTTGGTGTTGGTGTTGGTGTTGGTGTTGGTGTTGGTGTTGGTGTTGGTGTTGGTGTTGGTGGTGTTGTGGTTGTTGTGGTTGTTGTTGTTGTTGTTGTTGTTGTTGTTGTTGTTGTTGTTGTCGTCCTCGTCCTCGTCCTCGTCCTCGAGTCGTCGGTGTCGTCGTTGTGGTGGTTGCTGCCAGGTCAAATTGTGACTTGATGTAAGCGGCTGCTTCGCCAAACAATGCCCACACAAACTGATTGCGGAATTGTGGCACTCTGCGGATCTCCGCGTTTTCGTCTACAAAGGTTTGTTGGGGAGTGCTGAAACTTCAGGGCGGGCCCGCACATTCCAATTGTTGCCCTGTGCTTGCATTCAAATGTCATAATTACAATGTAACCACACGCCCAATCTGCTCAGCCGATGAGGAGCGTTCAAACATCGATACCCCGGTATTTTTGTTTGTTGCTTACTGGCCTGGCAGGGAAGTCATTTGATGTTTGCCCTGGGGATGCTACTACCTGACTTCATGGCGTTTGTATTAAGGGTGCAAAAGTGCGGTGAGCTCAGATGCAACATGGCACGGGACGGCCACTTGATCTCATCCGGTTGCTTGGCTGGCAATGTTCTCACTGCCCGACATGAGGCGACCAAGATATAATGAAAAGCCACCTCCAGAGTGGTCTCGCCGCCCGCGCCATGCTTGTGCTTTATTTACCTTTCACAGTGGTCTATTTGCTGATTTCGTGCAAGCTTCCATCAAAAAGTATTCAAAACACTGCTCTCTAACACAGCTAGTTTCTGTGATTGGAAGCGCAACAGTACATTGGAAGGGGAGGAGTATGCTAGCATGTCCGGCTCCAACTTCCGCACTTGCATGCCGCTGGACAAAGTAGACAGCACCGTTCACATGCTTTTGCAGGCTGATGGTTGTCCCGCATGTTGAAATGTTTCACAGGACACTACAACCGATTTGCGTTTGCAGGTGCGAACTCTTCACTATTTCTGTTGCGTAACATTGGGGCCAATGTCGATTTCCAGTTCACTTTGCCAGGCATTGCAATCAGTCTTGCCCAGTCTAGTGACTGTGGGTGCTCACAGGGAAAGCCCGCGTGCTTTGGAATGCGCGGAGTGTGGCTGTAGAATCAATTTCGTGTATCCAAACAAAAGAGGCTTTGGATGTTTCTCAATCGAGTATGTGTTCAAATTAGAACCACTTTCTGGCCTCCAAAGGGAACTACGAATTCATCAATTTCATTTGTGTCTCCTCCTTGTATTACAAATTGATAGTACATTGGATAGTTCAACTACATTTCATGTTCTGCACATATGAGAGCATCAACATCGACAAAAGTGTTCAAACATGACAACCGATAGCAGGTGAACTTTGTTTAAACACACAAAATTGTCAAACAGACCCAACAACAACAACAACAACAACAACAACAACAACAACAACAACAACAACAACAACAACAACAACAACAACAACAACAACAACAACAACAACACCAACACCAACACCAACACCAACACCAACACCAGCAGCAGCAGCAGCAGCAGCAGCAGCAGCAGCAGCAGCAGCAGCAGCACAACAACAACAACAACAACAACACAACAACATAACGGATGATTATTATACATTAGTAGAAACATATTGCGTGTTCCCCATTTGAAATTGAATTCTTATTCCAATTTGAAGCTATGTAAAAAATGTGTTTTGTTTTCCAAGACAATCGCCAATTCCACCAAGAAAGTCAACAATTTATGATGTGTTTTTGTTCATTTGGCCATATGTTGAATATCTATCAAATCTGATGTATCATTAAAAATAAGAAGACAACAAAACAGAATATTAGAACATGTTGTTGCACGGTTTATACTAACTGCATGCTTATTTGTCTTGTTTTTTTCTTTCTTAACAGTTATTGCTGTTAACGGACTATTGATTTCTGAACAGACAAAGTGAATATAATGCGTCAACACCTTAACATAATTCATTGTTTTCATTGATTTTAAGGTTTACACCACCTTCCAAGCAGTTTTCCGAATCATTGCGTCTGGTGCCAGGTGGTGCAGCTCAAGATGTTGCCGCTGGCCTCGGATCGGCTCAGACTTCGCTGGGGCTGGCCTCAAGCCCACACGAAAGAATCGGCACAGCTGGGGGTGGGGGGCGAGTTTTGGGCTCAAAACCCTAACTTTCCCATTCCCTTCAAGTGGAAGAACGATGGGCCGACTGGTTCAACAGAACATTCTGCCTGGATAATTATTACTGGTATCAGATTCTTGCAGCTACATGACAACTTCTGCTCCGGCCAAATAGCAATTCCAGCATGCTGTGGTATGTCAAAATAGGCAGGTGGATTGCTTTGAGCTTGAAAGGAAGCCGATGAGAAAAAGAAGCAGTCTAGCTTCATGTTGCAGCATTTGTAGAATGCCCGGCTTACAGTAGTGACAGCGTGCAACTGTCAACTGTTTATGCACTTGCTTGTTTTTCATTTCTGTTTGCGAAGCAACTGCTGGATCCTGTTGGTGTCCCACTACGGACTACGGATTAAGGTCTCTTGCTCTGCTGATTCTGTTGCAGAGAAGCGGCGGCAGCAAAGGCCCCCAGCAAATGGCTTGTCATCGTATAATTCTGAGGACGTGTGCGGTGATCTGACTCCTCATTACCTTGCTGTGAGAAGAAAGCCGCAAACACATGCAAAGCTGTTGTAGTTCCGTATTTGTTGCAGTGACAAGGCATCAGCGAATTGCCCGGACTTTGTTTGATACAGCTACCAGAATGTTCGCGCTCGGCACTCAAAAGGCAAACAGCTTAAACCTTTTTGACGCTCAGGCGACAGAGAGCTCCAAGCTGAAGCGGGCGATTCGAATCGCACCAGCCAAAGCGGCTTAGAAGATTTGGCCACTCATCTGGTGTTCCAATGAGCACGACAATCACAGATGTCTCAGCATTGTTTGAAGATGCCGGATCCTGCCGTGCAAGTGGGTGCAATACTGCCCTGAGGGTTCAGTGTAAAATCTGAGCAGCACCAGTGTTTGTGTGCGTGTGCCCCTTGTTCACGCTGACTAGGTGTCGAACTTCTTTGTGTAGCATGGTAATATGACCGTATCTCTATTTCGTGCCAGGCCTCTTTCTTGGCAGGGTCTTTTCCAATCCCACTAAGGTTCTTTCAGACAGACTCAGACAGCCCTCCATGCGACCGTACCGATTTGATCCAGCAGGACCGCACTTCGGGAGACTGGTCCAGTGCAAACACAACATGCAGCGCAGCCGTTGTGGGGTGCTCACAAAGGGCCACCAAAGGCAAATGGTGCACACCCGACGCTCGAATGTTTTGCCACAAATTCAACGTCAAGGACTTAGCAAGACTGTAAAGCTGAATGGTGTGAGCAGACGGGCTCAAGGGCCGAATCTTCCGCTTCGCGAGGGGCAGTGACAGTGAGATCATTCAAAGCTAGAGCCAGCGGGAAGCGGATAAAACTGGTTGCTGTTTTGCGTTGGCAGTCAGGCACAGGGCTGATGCGGTTGAAGAGCTGAACGAGACAGAGCTATACGTCATGTGGTTACGTGATTGAACCCTCCAAGACCAGGGTTCAGGATATTTGCAACCCAGGATATTTGCAACCTGCACTAGAGAACAGGATAAAGTTGATTGAGAACACGTGGAGTAATTCTTGTGCGAAAGGAGAGGAATTCGTCACAGCGTTGACCTTTACCACCAAGTCATGACGCCCAGCGCCCCGGCTAGGCTATGTGCTCAGGTGCTAACACGCTGCCACAGAGACACCCAGTGCTCTACAAGCCTTTCTATCGGGTGGAGAAAGCCACACACGGCATTCCTGCTGAGCCAACCTGATGCCGTGGCTAAAACCACCTAGTCGCCGCCAAAATTCATAAGAACAGGCATGAATGGAGACCACAGTTCTCAGGAGTTGGTGTCTTTCCAGGTTCTTAGTCTGTCTTTGCTTGTTTGGCAAACTCGCGGCTTGCTGTCGTGGCCAGAACTGTCTTTTGACACCAAAAAGGTGTAAAAAATAGAACCCACTACCCAGACGTGTTCAAATTACTTAGAAGCAAGTTGCGCGACGCTCCGTTCTCGTGCTCAAGCCTTGAAATCCGAAAGCACCATGCAGTAACAGCCATCGGATTCTCTTTGTAGGTGTGCCCGAGCTGGGTTTCTGCTCCCATGAGCCTCGTTGCAACCTTGACACGAATTCCTATGTGCCAAGCTTACTACAACCGTGCCTTGATGAGTTCTTGGATGACATCGCATCAGCAGCTACTTTCTCCATTTCACCTCACCAGGATACAACACACGACACGTCACCTGCGCGCCGCAGATGCACCAGTCCACTGGGGCTTGATGCCCATTGCATGGAATCGATTCGTCAACTTCAAGCTGCCCTAAGCGATGAAGCTTTTCCGGCAGCCTCTCGTCGGATGATCCAACTGGACAAGTGATGACTTCCTTGAAGGGATGTCGAACCCAACCACGGACGAAGACAAGTTGTTTTGGGTGTCCCGCAAGGTTTGAGGTTGGGACCTTAATCAGAACATGCTAGATGTGCGGCACAACGTTTTCCGCACATGTTATTCTTTGGTTTGAACCAGGGCAATTCCGGCTTGCTATCTGGCCGTGAGACATCAGATAGCCATGGTCTAAAGTAAGCATTTGCCAGGTCTCAAGGCAGGACGTGTCCAGCATGGGCACCTTTTCAAACACGCTGGGGTTTGCAGCTGAAGAATTAATTACGTTTGAGAATAAGATGGACTCAGCGTAGAATGGGACAATCTCTGAATTGAAGGTCGGACAACCAAGTCGGACCAGTGCAGGTGGCATTTCCGGCATTTGTCGAAAGAACACAGGAAGTGCAGATGTGTACGATTCGCGCCTAAAGCGGTGTTGCTTGTTTTAAAGTCCTTGTGTTGCCTGTGTGGCTCATGTTGTCATGACCAAGGTTCACTTCCAGCGCAGACAAGGTGGCAACTCAATTGACGGCAACCTGGCTTGACTTAAGAACTTGATGGTTTCCTTGTTTTAGTTGAGCGCACTGTGTTCATTAGCCAGAGAAGCGGGAAACTTCTTCCATTCCTCCAGCGCTTTGACCAGATTGCTTTGCTTGCTGGCAAGGGGTATGCCTTTACCTGCTTGGGTTCTTCAGCTGGGATGCCCAAACAATTTCCTCATGGTTCGTTGTGGCACGAAATGTGGCATTCAGAGTGCCGGATTTCAGACCATACAGACCGCCGCTGTGTCTGTGTGGGTGTGTGTATTTGTGGTTCTGTTGCACAGCCTCAGAGGCATGTTGCTTATGTTGTGCAGGATCGCTGGTGATGTTTCTTGCCCGTTGGGACTGGCATTAACATCAAAATGATGCTGCGCACGACAACCAGCAAACAACTATTATACCCACGTCTTTTCTTGTAAAGTTACGCAGTCATTCTTGCAAGTCGTGGTTTCTTTGATTCAATGGAGATGTGTGAGGTGTGAGCATCGGTGTGAGCGTTGGGTGCTGTTGGTTCTGTTCCTTGCTCGCTTGACCTGCGCAATAGATGCTCGAAGTAGTAGTTGTGGGTACCAAGTGGAAAGCTTGAAGTTACCTCTATTCACCAAAGGTATATTCAGCGTCGCATCATCACAACCTTATCTACATTTCTCAAAGGTGAAAGGCACAACAAGGCTGAGGCATTCCATGTGTCCCAGAGGTGATCCGCCTCCTTTGGGCTGAGGCGAAGTCCCATAGCTACACCTTCCAGAACACGCTGGATCGACAGATTAAGGTACTGCTGGAGGAGGATCCGGAAGGCATGCTCCAGGCAGGGCTGCGGCAGCGTGCGCCGGGCTTTCCCAAATCCAAGTGCGGGCAACGACGGTGGTCTGGCCACGAGAGGTTCCTTATCCGCGGGAATCTGCAAACATGCTGGATGAGAGGCCCAGTTTCAGAATTCTCCTTACGCTGACTTCAACCAAGAGGATTGACCATGCCGCGATTTCAAGTACGAGTGGTATCAGGGTATGTGGTGTGATTTCAACGACGAATGCGGCTGCATCATGTGCGAGTCCGCGAGTCCGGCTTCCCCTTCAACTTGGAGCCTGTGCTCTGTCAATCCCAGACAACTCCCTCTTCCAGTGCGTTCCCTTGAAAACTCAAGGGGGACATACCTAGACCTTCGTTGCGGCAGAAATTTCTGCCGCAAATCAAAAAAGGCACGTTTTTGGATTTGCGGCATTTCTTCCTGATTTGCGGCGTTTTAAAAACAAATGCGGCAGAACTTGTTTTCATTTTTTTTATCTTCCGATTTGAGGCGGAAATCGGCGGGAATGCGGCGGAAATCGGCGGGAATGCGGCGGAATTTCCCGAAAAGCAAACGGTGTTGCGGCCTTTTTGTTTTGGTTGCGGTGTGTTTTTTTGTTTGCGGCTGATTTTCTGGAATGCGGAGGGAATTTCTGCCGCAATGCGTTGCGGCAGAAATTTCCGCCGCAGGAAGTTCTAGGTATTAGGGTCTCTTTTCGGGTTTGTTTTGGTTTTCCCGTGGAAAAACAAAAACACCAAGCCCGGAAAACGCCTCCCCGCCCTTCGCCTGGAGGCAGCTCAGGACGACCTGAACACGGGGATTCCGGTGGTGGGGAAGCGCATGGAGGAGCACAAGAGGAAGGTGCTGAAGCGCTACCGCACCATCCTAGAATCCCGGCAAGTGCCCCAAACCACCCCAAAAAACAACGTTTAACCCCTTGGTAAGCAAAACCCCAAGGGCAAGGGAAATACCCCAAGTGCTTGTAACCCTGGCAAGTGTGGATCGCAGTTGAAAATGGGAAAGGATATCTTTTGTTTTAAGTTGGGGGGGTTGCAGCCTCAGGGTGGACACAGGTTCGTTGGTTTCTGGCTGTGTTCTGTTTAATTTGTCCGCACCCGACTGCACAGAGCCGATAGCTTCCTGAAGCTTGCTTGGCGGCCGTCAAGCTGCCCCGTTTCTCAGCCTAAAGCGAGTTGTTTTCTTCAGGCATTGATGGTCATTCCCTGTCCGGAAGCGCGGCTTTCAATTTTTCACGGGCCTTCGCTCTGCAGCAGGAGCTTCACGGCGCGGGAGATTCGTTTGTTGGCCTTTGATCCGAGGCTTTGCGGCTGTGCTGCTCCCATGTTGAACCCCCTCCCCATCAAACGTTGTTAAAGACAGATGGCCATGGGATCAGGGGTACAGGGTTTTGACCCTCAGCCAAATGAGAACACTCGTGATGAGCCACTTGACTGCGCCTATCGGGAAGCCAAGGAAACCGCCAAGCCATTTCAGGAGCTGGGCGTGGCATGGAGCAAAGTCACAATGGGACAGGGCAAGATGTTACAGTTAGTGGCAAACGGCGCTGCTCAACTGATGCTGATTCTAGAGAATCATGTCTTTTGTTTTGTGTTGAACGTGTTTGAGCCTTTGCGATGACGTGCAGTATGATTCCCAAAAGGCAAACATGTTGCAAACATGTTTGCAGTAACACATTGTCGTTGTATTTTCCTGACATTGCGGCCTTGCCCAGCATGTGTTTGCTTTCCTGGCGAAACAAGCACTCCAGCATGCACCCCGAGCCCGTAAACAAGTGCTTGACAGGCAATGTGGAATGATTGAAACACGGGGTCATGGGGCATATGCCTCTCGTATCTCCCTGTAGATTTGACCGCATCCTTGACTGCCATTGAATTTGGATAGAGTCTACAGTTTTCATTTGTTTTGGTGGCATGTTATTTTTCTCAATCGGAAGCCTCAAAGCTCATACTGGTCCAGCCACTTTGGTTGTGATGGTTTTTGTGACAACTGCACCTTGCTAGTTGACACAGATTCACAGATGGTACGACCGAGTCTGGACTGAATAAAAAGACAAATATACGGTCGTACAACAGCTTCTGGTGACCGAGGAGTAAGCGTGAAAGGCGTGCAAGGAAGACAGCATCAAGTTACGAGGATCCATATGACGTTGAGCAAACTTATGCTCCTCACAGGCATGTTCAATTGTGCGTGCACTGTGTCATTAGACGTGTCCAATGCCAAATGAAGTGAGAAGCAAGTCGATGAGTTTCCTGAATTCTTGAAGCAGAGAATCAGTTCTCACTCAAAGACTTTGCACGTGAGAAGCAAACCAGACTGCCGCCCAGAACTCCCCCGCTCTGCAGGAGTTCTCGGTCCTTTCTGAGCAGCTGAGAACAGCGCGGGACTCACTCACGGGCTTCACTCGGGAATGTTTCAGAATGAGGGAGCACCTTCATCTGAACGCGGTTTCAAGGAATGCACGAACCCAAAACATCCGAAACCGCCAACCTCTCGAACTGCAAACTCCACAAACCAGGAAGCAGGTTTGGAGGCAAGGCTGTATACAACCTTCAACACCCCTGAATATGATCATGTTGCAACCAGCAGCTTTCCCATGTCTGGGAGGACCGATGGGTGCTACCGTACTTGGCCTGTTTGGAGCATTTAGCTGTACCATGCCTCGTCTGGGCAGCGAGCAATTGGAGTGGGGTCCACTGCCAATCAAGCCGTTCATGCTGGCTCAATTTCACCGAGTTTTGCATCGCATGGCCTCGCAAGTCGGTTATTGAGTGCAGAATGCGCAGCTGTTCGGAATTCGTTATGGTTGAATCAGATTGGAGTGACGGCAGATTTGCTCACTCGATTTCATGATGCACATGATGCACATGCCGGCCCCACATGCCAAGCGTTGTTCATGGCCTGGGGCAGAAGCGTTTTGCCCAGGTCACCATGAGGTCTCCCATGGTGCGGCTGACCGTGGGCATTTATGAGCCTGGGGGAGTGCTGAAGGTGGTGACCGCCCGGAGCCCCGAAGCGGAAGCCTGGTGAAGCCGAAAGCTGCCAAAGGAACCGGAGATGGCCATGCTTCAAAGCCAAATGGGATCCCATTTTGGGATGCACCACCTATGTTAGAGCCTAGTTTAGTGGAATTGGGATGTTCACTGGGGGTACGGGGTTTTGACCCATGGCCACATGTTCCATGATGTCTTCTATCAGGGTCTCTGAAGAATCCCTGACAGTTGGAAAAGACATAAAGTATGCTCTATGAAACAGGTCTTACCTTGTTAAGGGAACTGGTCACGGCACGCATATCCAAGGTCAAGACCAAGCTGACAACTTCTAGCTTGGCCTTCACAGTCAATGAAGGACGGCCATATGAGAGAAGCGTGTTCCCCAGCCACCAACGAACCTAGACCGAGCTAGCCAAAACGGGATCACTCCAGCGGCAAGCAACCAGCCACCCGGATTCTCGGCGTGTGCCGAGTTTTGTGCCCGAGCGCCATTTCAACCGCAGGACTTGCCAGAGGCGGCGGCAAGAAGGTCCGTGCTGACTCGCGGCTGCCCAGAGATCGCTTTGCACGCCGCGTGTTTGTTTAGAAAAGTGGGAGGCTGGTTTGGAACTCCGGGTCACGGCTGGCCGACCTCTCCTCAGCGCAAGCAGAGTTGCACAAGGTTTCTTTGAGGGATAATTATTGATGTGCAGCCTTAGTAGCCCAAAGCTGTTTGACGGTTGCACAGACAACACTTGCTCGGATAGTTAGCACAGCTTACAATTCCCTAGGACTCTTTGGAGGAAGCGCTCCACTCCTTTGGCATGGACGTGGGCTTCAAGTGACTGGGCAGAGTTCACTTCCAGTGAAATGCTTTGCTGCCATCTACCAGGCATCACTGTGGGCATACGAGATGTTGCGAGTTTCCTGGTTTGAGGGCTCCCCACTACACGTTTTTGTTACACATTCCACTGGTGACTCCCAAACGCCTACAAGATTGCAAGTAGCTGCCAGGAAGGAGGAGCTTCTGGCAGACATCGAGCTGCTTGGCCACTTTCACTGTTGCCGGGCACCGGCCAGAGTGATGCGTTATCTTCCTTGAAGCACCAAACACAGCTGCTAACTCCCAATTTTTGGCACAATTTGGGCAGCGACAACCAAAGGCCAACAAGCCAGCACCGGCAACCGCCAACCATTCAGCAATCCCAACAATGGCAGCAGCAGCGGTGTCTCCGAAATACATGTTATAGCTTGGGAAGTATTCGAGATGTCCCCAGCCCGGGGCAGGCCGTGTTCAATGATGCCTCAAGACGTTGCGCGGAGTGCATCTACAGAGCTTCAATATTGTCCGTGTGTTCATTTCAGATGCATGGTATTGATCAGCCTTTCTCAATTGTTTAAGCAGGGCTTGCGCCGTCTTGCGCGCCTTGGGAGTCTACCACTGTCATATTAACAACTGGTGTGGCTACTACATGCATTGAATTTGCTGCGTTTGTTTCAGCGACCTTGAACTTGCTCGTCTTTGAGCAATGAAGATTATTTCTACAACGGTGACTGGTACACTGGATATTTGTACAGTGGTTTCTGAAACCATCAAAGTAGCATCGTTCAAATTCTGGCACAAACCGTTCAAATGTTCGATGCCACGACCACGCTAAGGGAAGACGAGGGTGGCACGACTCCCCGATCTCTCAAGCAGGGTGAATCGCCGAAGTCAGCGAGACCTGAGACGCTCCTGGGCTGACCACTGACCAGTGGAGCTTTGGGTCGTTGATTCCGGATGTTGCACATGCGCATGTGGCATGTGGAAATATGGCAGACCGGATGCTTGTTCCATCAGCCCTTGAATTGTGGAGGCTAGACAACTGCCATAGGGAGGTTCTATGAAGGAACTGGAGGGGAAAGCAGCGGGGCGTATGTTTGACAAGTCGCCACAACATCCCATACGTAGCTTCTTTGTTCCACTTTGATTGGAATGAAACAATGCTCAGCAGTAGTGTGTACCCATGTTGTGGTGAGGCATAGTAAGGCTATGCAACAATCGGGTTACTCGGCAAAAGCAAGACCCGCGGCTGTGACATGCACATGCGGGCTGTACTAATGGTGGAAGGCTTCAGTGTTTTCCTTTGATTCTTATCAACATCCTGTGCAATTCCTGCTGGAACCCTGGCTGTGAGACGGCGATGTGCTGAGAGGCTCGTATTTACAGAACTGCTTCTGTCATGCATGGTACGAGCATGTCCAAGGCAAGAGCAGGCCCGACTGCTGGAGGCATCAACGTCAGCAGAATACAGTCAAACAAACGAGGACGAATGGCAGCAATTGCTGCAACAGCCTCCCCCGGAAAAGCGCACGCAGCAAGCAACAAGCGCAGCACTTAGTCAGGGTGAGTTGCAGGCTGATGCACAAGGGTGGCAAGAGCCAGTTCCATGGCAGCAAAAGCTGGAAGAGTACAGGCGGCAGCGAGAGGAGTCCTCGGTCAAATTTGACCAGAGCCCGGAGAGGTGGCAAGCGCCACAAAGCCCGCAGTGGGGAAGCGCAATGCAGCCAAAGCCGGAGCAAGCAGGGCAAGGGGCAAAGCGTCAGCCTATGAAGTGGCACACGCCACAGCACATGCCTCAGAGCCAGGAAGCCCAAAAGCCAGCACCGCCAGCAGAAGAGCAGGCTCACACACCCATGAAATGGCACACGCCACAGTGGGGCCAATCAATGCTGCAGCAGCCAGAGTCACCCGCAGGCGCAGCAGGAAAGTTTCAGCACACAAAGTGGCACATGACACAGCAGCAATCGTTGCAGAGCGTGCCAGCACAAGCAGAGCCGGCACGGCCATCAGGAGAGCCGGCTCAGCCCACGAGGTGGCATGCGACTCAGCGGAGTGAGGCGCAGCAGCAGGGGCAGGAGCCACACCCAAGCCAATCAGGAAAGTTTCAACCGATGAAGTGGCACATGCCATCGCACAAATCGCCGCAGAGTATGCCAGCAGAACCGGCGCAGCCAGCAGGAGAGCAGGCTCAGCCCACGAGGTGGCATACGCCTCAGCGGAGTGAGGCGCAGCAGCAGGGGCAGGAGCCACACCCAAGCCAATCAGGAAAATTTCAATCGATGAAGTGGCACATGCCATCGCAGAAATCGCCGCGGAGTGTGCCGGCACAAGCAGAATCGGCACAGCCAGCAGCAGAGCCGGCTCAGCCCACGAGGTGGCATGCGCCTCAGCGGAGTGAGGAGCAGCAGCACGGGCAGGAGCCGCAAGGAAAGTTTCAGCCCATGAAGGGGCACATGCCACCGCAGCAATCGCCGCAGAGCGTGCCAGCACAAGCAGAACCCGCACAGCCAGCAGGAGAGCAGGCTCAGCCCACGGGGTGGCAGACGCCTCAGCAGAGTGAGGCGCAGCAGCACGGGCAGGAGCCACAGGGAAAGTTTCAGCCCATGAAGGGGCGCATGCCACCGCAGCAATCGCCGCAGAGTGTGCCAGCACAAGCAGAACCCGCACAGCCAGCAGGAGAGCAGGCTCAGCCCACGGGGTGGCAGACGCCTCAGCGGAGTGAGGCGCTGCAGCAGCACGGGCAGGAGCCACAGGGAAAGTTTCAGCCCATGAAGGGGCGCATGCCACCGCAGCAATCGCTGCAGAGTGTGCCAGCAGAATTTGCACAGCCTGCAGGAGAGCAGGCTCAGCCCACGAAGTGGCATATGCCTCAGCGGAGTGAGGCGCAGCAGCAGGGGCAGGAGCCACACCCAAGCCAATCAGGAAAATTTCAATCGATGAAGTGGCACATGCCATCGCAGAAATCGCCGCGGAGTGTGCCGGCACAAGCAGAATCGGCACAGCCAGCAGCAGAGCCGGCTCAGCCCAAGCGGAGAGAGGCGCAGCAGCAGGGGCAGGAACCACATCCAAGCCAATCTGGAAAGTTTCAGCCTATGAAGTGGCACATGCCTCAGCAGAGATCCCCAACTCATGCTCCGACGCATACTTTGACCAGCAGGACAAAAGCAGCTACTGAGCAGTTGGAGGATTTCCAGCAGGAATTGACCAAGGACCAGCAGGATTGCAGGCGGGTCGGCCGATTGTACGGAGTGGCTTCAATCTATCCTTGAGCAATGTTGAAACAACCCTTCCTAACCCCTCAATACCAAGATCACCCAAGACCATATCTGTGAAAGTGGTGAAATGCTCTTGAAATTAGTCTGAAGGCCAATACCGCGTGAGATTCGGGTCATACTCTAACATCAGGCACTACTACTTTAGACGTGAGAAGTCGTACTTTAGAATCGGCCAACACTACTTTTGAATTGACAAAAAGCCACTTCAGGATTCGCCAATGCTACGTTTGAATGGGGCAATGCGACTTTTGTATGGGGCAACAATTCTAAATGTGGGATGGGGCCCTCCGAGTGCCCGTGTCAATTCTGAGGCCCCGACTTTGGGTTTCTGGGCACCAAGCAGGGCATGTATTTAGCTATTTTGCTCCGCTGAATACTTGGCTGGACCAGACTCATTTGGGGTTGCCCCGATTTTCCTTTGGGGACAGGAGTTACACATACACATAGACTAGTATTTGGGGCCTGCCTGGCTGACAGGACTATTGTATTTGTGCACCTTTGTTGATATTATGATTTGTTTCTGGGCGCGTGAAACGAGCGCGAGGCAAGAAGCAAGTGCGGTTTTGTTGTGGTGGGGCAAGTTGTTGGACAGCCGCAAGTCTCAAAGGTCAGCGTCCGTTACACTCAGCATGAATAAATCGTAGAAGAGTGACACACGGTCCAATGGTCCAAGCGAACAGATAGACTCGCCAACTGTTTCACCTGCCAACGGCACTCGCGTAGGAATACAGCAATCAAAGGTAAAGGGCAAAGCATGTCAACGTATTTCTCGACATGTCTTGCAACATGTATAGCCACTTGGCATATTTGCCTCAAACATGTAAATGAAAGGGCATTAGAGGGATGGGATTGACACACTAGTCTTCCTCCAACCTCAAAGCAACCCTAGCTAGCACATGAATGTTGGCGTCGCACATGCAATTGAAAGCCTTGGCCAACTGCATGAGCCATTTCATGAGCTTGGCACAATACGCGACTAACTAGTATTGTGCCAAGCAATAATCTTGATGCGGCGCTGATTGATAGTGAGCCATGAGTTTTGTTTGGCTAGTGATTGCCTTTGCAAGTTGTGACAGTGTGAGCCACTCCGCAAATGCCAAGCGGTTCCGGTTGCATAGCCTTGCCGGTTGCATAGCCTTGCACAGTTACTCCAACCCCTAGAAAACCACATCAGAAGTGCACAGGTCTCTGGGGGGGCGATGGAAGGAATCTTTGGGCTTTCTGCCCAGGCGGCCGAAGAGTGCCCCACGGATCAGGGGAGGCGCAGGCCTGGCCCTTCTTGAGCGTAGAATCCTTGTGGTATCCTCAGATGGGTATGGGTCAAAACTAAACCATCATGGGACCGCAGGTTTTAGTCCTTGGTTCCATTCACCACGCGCCACGCCACGCCACGCCACGCCACGCCACGCCACGCCAGGCCACGCCACGCCACGCCACGCCACGCCACGCCACGCCACGCCACGCCACGCCTCGCCCGCCCGCCCGCGCGCGCGCCCGCACGCACGCAGGCACGCAGGCACGAACGCACGCACGCACGCACGCACGCACGCACGCACAGACGCAGAGACGCGCGCACGCACAGACGCACGCACAGACACACAGACACACAGACACACAGACACACAGACACACAGACACACAGACACACAGACACACACAGACACGCCGACACACAGACACACAGACACACAGACACACAGCACATTCACGGACAAACCCACACAGCAGAGCACAAAAATAGCACAAGCCCACGCAGCACAGCGCGCATGCACTTTCAGTGTTTCCGCCCGAAATGGTGCTGCAGCTAAAGGCCTGCAGGGCCCTTTGTATCCCATGAACCCCGTTGCCTCACAAAGCCGTGCATGACGCGAGGCGCCATCCCGGCGGGCTTTGTGCCAGCGGAGGGAGAGGCATGGGAGGGAGGAGGTTGCAGAAAGCTGAGGACAATCCGTGTTTTCCAAAACCTGGGGACTCCAAGTCGGACGTCAAGGGAACCAACTGAAACACTGCGCTTCGCAGGGTGGGATGGAATAATTCAAACGGCGAGCTGTTTTCTCGGGAGAATCGCGGGCAAACGCGCAAGCCAAATTTGTTCTGAAGGATTCCGTTCAGGGAGTCATTTCCGAGCACAACCGGAGCTGCCAGTTGGAGACTTGAATCGGTGTGGATTGAGACTTTGCCACATATTCTTCAGGCATGCCAGCAGCTCAAGCCACAACTTGAGACTAAGCTAAAGTATGGGATGAATGATTGATGTGTCGGGCGCTTTCAATTATGCCTGACTGGAAGTTGAGCTCTCTCGACATGTTTCATCACACTCGAAAACGTCAAGGGCCTTGTGGAATGCTTGGCAACCCATTTTGGCCTCTCATTGAAAACTGACCCAGAGCAGGTTCTTTTTTGCGACATGTGAGAGGCAGGCAGATTAATGAGTGGGAGAGACGGGTTGAAGGTTTGAAAGGCTCTTTTGAAACAGTCATATTGATGCAACATTGCAGACCGGCCTGCAAGTGTCTCAATGTTCACTAACATGCTCGACTCCACGTTGCCAACATTTGAGTCCCACAAGGCCAAACTTGAACAAAAGGCAACTATCACCTATCACTAAATCGACATCCCTGGCAAGTATTGGCCACCTCCAGCCTAGTTGAATACAGGCGGCATCTCTAAAGTTTCTTCTCAGAAATGACATCCCAGTTTGGAAGCCGATAGACATCCCAAATTGTGCAAGTTAGGCAACATGACACAGCCGTTTTCTTTTCCGGGGTCCTCCCTTGCCTCAAGCATCTTGCCTGGAGCCGCTCCTTTCGTTTCTTGGGTTTGCTATGACAGCAACAGTATTGGCAACTCTGAGGTCACTTCAAACTCGGTCACCTCGACTTGTTTTTTGGGCGGGCACCCCCACGCATTAAGGAGAGCATCACAATACAAGGATGCTGAATCTCTGGGATCACAGCCAGAGGATATATATATATATATACTGCAATCAAACGATCAAAAGGATCTGCTGTAGGCTTTCAGACCTTCAGGAACCAGCTGCAAAGCCAGCATCAAGGGCTGCGAGCCATTCCTGAGTAAGATACGTTTGAATTCTGAGCTGATGCGGTATGCCGACTGACAATTGCCGGGCCAACACCGGCAAAACCTGGATGGAGACGCGCACAAGACTATGAACCCCAGCGTAGATACGCACATGTTCGATCCCCTAAGACTCTTGAGATGCAGCATCATCTTTAAATAGCCGTGCCCTGTCGTTGGAGTGCCAGGTAAATACGGTTTCCGTATTGCGAAGAAAAAACATTTGAGTCCAAGCCTGGCGCAGTACACGCTGCGTAGAAACCGCCTTGCAATTCTGGACCACAGTTGAAATGATGTGGTATTTGCTCGTAGGAAGCGCCTCTTCCCTGACCCGTCACATGTTTCTCAGCACTCGCACCCCACCCACGCCAAAGCCTGGACCCCAGCCGTCTTTTTAATGAAGCGCTTGCTTGTCTTTTGCGCAGGGATTTCTGGCTAGGCGAATCGGCTGTTGTTGGCAGGAGCTTGGCTCCGACTTAGGGAGAGGGAAGATCAAAGGACCGCATGTCCCAATGTCCCAAGTCCAACTCTCTTTTTCAGGTCCTCGTGCAACATGCATCTCGAGATGTCTACCTATTTCTACCTGCGCTTCACCTACGCATCGTGAACATGTGCATGAGAACATATTGTACCATACTTGGGGCAGAGCATGTTTTGATTGCTTCCGTCCCATATCTGGTCGGGCAGGTGGAGGTTTTCTCCAGCAGCCTGCAGCGGTGGCTTCCCGGATCTCTCCTGGGCCTCAGCGCGGGGGAGGGAGGCACCGGTGGCTTTGTGGGAAAACGGGAATTGGCTGTGGGGCGGCTTGGGCCCTCCGTCTCTCCAATTGAGTGGGGGGGCTGATGCCATGAAGACAATTA